ACACACCACACCCACACACACACACACCACACACACCAAATGTACACTTATCTTGTGATGATACAGGTCCTGATTGAAGGCAACATTTGACATTAAATAAGAGGTCAAACATCCAAATTAAAATCTATATATCTCTACAGAACTGCAGAAATGTGAGAGAAAAAAAAGTGTTTTATTTAATGTTGCAGTTTTCAGGAAAATAATCAAATTGTGCTGGGTAAGAAAAAAAAAATATGGTGATGATTAAAACAAATACTACAACTAGGATCTGCCTTTTCCTTTGGTGACAGGCGAGATTTTGGAACAACTCGTAATTTCCCGTCTACCAAAACAACAACAATGAAATCTTCCCTCTCTGTCTCAGTCTCCATCAAACTCTTTCTCTGTTCCTGTCATCTGGTCAACACACACACGTGCAGATATCATAACTGTCCCATTTCCCTTTTCTTTTTATATCCTTAAATATCTCTCTCTGCTCGTCTCTTTGTCAGGACCGGCCTGGAGGCGATCATGGAGACCTACGCTTTCTGGAGACCTCCTGTGAGGACCCTCACGTTTGAAGACTTCACCAACATGCAGAAACAGCAAGGTGTGTGATTAAAAAATGTGATAACAAATCGACAAACTCCAAATTCCCCCTCTGTCTTTTCTTTCTACTTCTTTTATATTAAGTTTTTTTTTTTTAAGGAGATTTTGTGCAGAATAGTAAAAGACAGATTTCTTACCAAAACAAGAACCTGGTCTCCACTTGACATTTCTTCTTGATATTAGTTGAAGATTGTCACTAGAAAGAATTCCTTGTCTTATTTTGAAGGACTAACAATCAAAACCGATGATTTACCTTCAACCTGACCACTCCCAAAATAACTGATCCCAGATATGCTAGGCACATTGCTAAAAACTGTTGTTAGGGTTGTACATACATATTATGTGAATAAACCATTTGTATGACTTATTCCCCTAAAACGGACACATTAGAGCCCCCATTAGATCAGCGTATTACCCTTTAAATAACTCATATGGGAGAATACTAAAACAGTTTACAAAAAAAACATTATTTTAGTAGCCACTGATTTAGATCTATTCCAGTGTTGTGGATTAAAGAGACCCTAAGCTATTCTTTGTTTTAATGTGATCTGAATTCTTGGCGACCACTTTAAGCACAACTGTGGTATCCCATAATACTCACTGCTGGCATTAAAGCTTCATACCCCCTTTACAGATGTGACTGTGTTCATTTGTTTGCACAAAACAATGGATGGTTATTCTTGTGATCCATTACAACAACAACAATTATTGCAATTAACTTAAACATGGTATCATTTGTTCCTAATTAAGCAACATAGTGTTTTTAAGTCTATAACAAGGTAAAGTTATTTAACATTGTATATTTAATGGCTAGCGGTAATTAGCGGTAATTGTAGCATACTGTCCCAACCTGAACTCTTTCCCCTGCATATATCACCACACACCACATCAGCTATGGTTGTCCTTTATTTGAGCTTGGCCATACGCTGCTGCTCTGGCAGGTCTGCAGGCGTCTGCTGAACTTTTCACATCACGCGCGGCTTTTGAAAATAAAATCGTTAAACAAACCCCGGGGCTCTTGGACGACTCCGCGACACGAGTCACCGTCAGCAGGGGCCAGCACAGGGTCTTAGTCATGGCTCGTGTCAAGGCCCACGCCACTTTTAAGTTTCCTCACAGACCCTATCTCAGTCACCTCCGGAGAGGTCAACATGACGTGATGCTCTGTATTTTGTCTGAGCAGAGGGACATGTATTTGTCATCATTAAACTCCTCCGAAGTGTTTAGGATTTCATCCTTGCACCGCCAGTGAACCCTGTGTCACAGTGTGTGTAAGTGTGTCTTTGCCCTTATGGCACAAAACACTCTTTTCCCTTCGAGTAATCAACTATTCCCCCTCGGCATTGAAGCACCTCGAGCCCTTTTAACCAGAGGAAAACATGACATCACCAAACTACAGTCTTCTCTTCCCTCCTCTCTTTTTCCTCATACATCTCCCCCCTTTTTCTTTTATTTCTCTCCCTTCCCACAAGCCCCCTCCCTCATCTTCTGCAGCGATATTATCGAAGGCATATGGTGCAAAATCAGAACCCAAGCCAAGCGAGTCCTGGATTATTTAGTTATGCCTCCTCCTCATTCCGGGTTCAAACCGAATTTCTTCAACAGCGAGATGAACCCCGGCCAAATTCTCATTAATAGAGAAATATGTGATTGATATCCCACAGCTATCATTTCACTCTGAAAGGGCTAGACTTACTGGATACAATTTGTGCCAGCCCCCTTCAGCTGAATCACTACAGTACATGTCCAAACTCTTAAGAGTCCGCCACTTTGTATTAAAGAAAGGACCTGCGGATGTGGGGCGGCTCTGTTGACCAGACGTGGTCAAACTGAAGCCATATTTTCTCCACATACCAGCAATACACTGTATGTCATGATTCAATTCATGATCTCTTATCCAAACTTTCAAATAGTAAGGTCCTGCAATTAGGCTCAAGTTAGGAGTTTGAAAATGTTCAAGTGGAACAACAAGGTTACATTTGTAATGTAGCTTAATCTGAGCCATTGCATGGGCACCACTTGGACACACACTCAAACGTACAACACTACAGTAAATGATGAAGAATCTGGTTAAAACTTACCTTGGTTCATTTTGTGGACATACAATAGTACATTTAGAAACTAATTCGGTCTTGAAGGCATTACAACCATTTACAACAAGATATTGGATGAGGTAATACGACAATAAAAAATATTAAAACGATCAAAGAGAAGATCAAAATCCGATTTTAAAATTAGAAAGTGCTCTGAAAACATTAAATTCAGTCTTAAATAGACATTGCAACCATTAACCACCACGTGAAATACATTTCTCCAGCTCTGCCATAGGGCACAGAGGATGTGGAGGTCTGGCTCTGAGAGGCTAACACTAATTCCTCTCCACAGGGAAATCCTGTTTGTTTCTTGATCTCCTCCACAGGGAGGTCAGAGGCCGGAGGGGATTCATGTCACTTTTCATCATCATATCAAATTTAAAAAAAAAGTTTTAGCTCTTGCCTAACTTTTATAGCTTCTTATTTTATGTAGAATAAATGAAGCTGTTGTATTTTTTTTATGGTTGATTTTCAAATAACTGAGTAATTTGATGTACAACCTTAAAATCCTTCCAAATATTAATCATTCAAATAACTCAATTTTAGTATTTAAGTAACTCTCTCACAATGAAAAATGTATATATTTTATTAATTTAATAATTAATTTGATGAAATGTTCAATCTGAAGATTAAACAAACCCCGAACAATAGAAGTGCCTTTTGGATACTCCAATTAAAAAAACCTGTAGATTTAGTTTTATTTGTATGTGCTCAAGTGCTCTCCTGTTATATGCCCCTGTGTTCACTCTCTCTGTATCTGTGTTTTCCAGGTGGAAGTACAGGCACCTCTCCCACCACCTCCAGCACAGGAACCCCCTCCCCCTCTGGTGCGGCTCACCTCCTGTCTCCCTCCTGTTCCCCTCCCACCTTCCACCTGGCCCCCAACACCTTCAATGTGGGCTGCAGGGAGAGTCAGCTCTGCAACCTGGGCCTGTCCGAGTACCCGGCCTGCGCTCGCAGCAACATGGCCGCCCTGCAGGGCTACGGCGGCCTGGCCGACAGCTCCTACGGACGCCTCCAGGCTGCAGGGGGCGCTGTGGCCTCGGGGCAGCCTTCTGAATCCTTCCTGCCGCAGAGGACTTCCTCCCTGATCGCTGCTGGCATGCAGGGCGGCCCTCACGCCTCCCTGAGCGGCGGTGGTGGTGGCGGCTCTGGAGGAAAGATGGATGCCTATGGCGGTCAGTTGGGCTCCTTCCCGGCCTCGCAGCTCCAGTACGTGATGCAGGCCGGAGGAGGCTCAGGCTCCGCCCCTTCCTCCTCATCAGGATCCTCCCCTTCCCCCCACATGTTCAGCGGGGGCCACCACCACGTGCAGCAGGGCTCCTACAACGCTTTCTCCCTGCACAACCCTTACAACCTGTACGGATACAACTTCCCCACCTCCCCTCGCCTGGCTGCCAGCCCCGAGAAGCCTCAGGGAGGTTTGCTCTGCTCCTCGTCTTCAGCCGGGGCCTTCGCCGAGCGCCAGTACCTGTCCAACGGGAGCATGGACACTATGCACATGATCGGCAACAACAGCGGCGGCCAGCAGGGCGGCAGCTCCTGCGATGGACGTCAGTATGGCTCCTCCTCTCAGATGTCCATGCACATGGTGTAGAAACTTGGATTGAACCTCACAGTCCTCCATGTTTCTTAAGTCTTTCAGCTGGAAAGCTATAAACCCGGTGTGGTGTTGATGTTGGACCGGTGTTTTTACATGAAGCGCTTATGTACTGAGGTACGAAACAAGCCTTTCAGAAAAGGACATCATTTGTTTTTAAAGACACTCCACAACATACAAAGCATTATAGAGGGAGTCAAAACTATTATTTAATTATCTTTGTATTATGAAGTGAAGATAGAGACAGCAACCTGACTCTCTTACTCTTACTGACAAGAGAGAAACAACCAAACTCAGATTGTGATAAAGAAGGAGCCCACATGCTCCAGTTCAGAAGGGATTATCAGTTGTGAAGCTGTTACAGTGCAATAGTAGCAACGCTCTTTTCAAGGGACACTCTTGGGACTCGAAGGCCTTGCCGTCAAGACATTTTGCAACCAAAGAATCTTCACTGTGATCCAGGAGTTTTCACTTCACGCAGCACTTGTGCCAAATCGTCTGGAGGTCAGTGGTTTGCCACCATGGTCTGAAGTTTGGCTGAAATGAAAGGGACAACTGGACAAGATCTCTGCAGGACTCACTGCTCCACACAGGATGAAGTATGTGTGGAAACACGTGGACTTCATCAACCCCTTACCCTCATAGACTGGAATGGCTTCACTATTTTTGAGTGGATTATGTTTTTTAGCATATATATAAGATGGCGAATGCAATCAATAACATAAGCTTAAAAGTTGTTGTGTGAAAAAGTTATTAAAGAAGCAATAGCAGACGGAGAAATTAAAGTATGTTTTGGTGTGTTGTAGAGATATGTATTTAAGTGCTGAGCAATATAACAATTTTACTGGCCAATCTGTTTTAAAATGTGTGAAGAAAAGGGAAATGGCAAAGTAATTCTTTTTTTTGAGGCATTTAAAAAAAAAATGTAAATACAGGTGCCAAGCACGTAAAAAGCTCAATAAACGTTTTAATTCATGAACATGGTTTTGATTTATTTTTTCCTCGTTAGCAGCAGGTTTTCAAAGTGAACTTAATATTGTAGCCTATAACTGCAGAAATTAAGAACTTTCTGAAAACTCATGAACAAGTCGCTCATAAAAAATAATTGAAAGCACATTAGCACAACAAATTACAACGTTTACTGTAAGTACTATATAATAACAAATGATAACTTAACGTGGTATTTATTAAACAGGAATTTACGGATTAATTATTGGAAATTACTGTTAAATTATTTTTTATAACGGTTTAACATTTGAACCGTAAGTCAGAGCCTCGAGGCTACATAACAATGAATGACATGATTATTAATCACATAAGAGCTTACAGTATAAAACACACACATCTGCCCTGCACCACATCACAGGCTCCAGCTTCAAACGCTGATGCAATGCATCCATCATAAACCGAACTGGAGGAAAAAGACACAAAAAAAGACACATTTTATCCCTGCTGGTTCTGTTTATTATAAGAATGAAGAATAAAGCTCTGCTGCCAAATGCACTCAGATGCACTGCTGTAGTACTCGCATAAATATGGCACCTGTTTTCAGAGACAGAGAAAATCACCTTGAAATAATCATTTGAAGAGGAAAATAGAGGAAAAACAGTATTTAGGATCATTCCTACTCCAGCTTTGTGGTTACACAGGCTCAGACTCTAGGGAACTATCCAGGGGCCAATCAGCGTCCATTACACGGATGTCTTCTGAACGGCTCTCCCCAATCACTTCCTATCATGCGTACAGCTCCAGCCATGAAATATCATATCTGAACTATCATCAGAAAATGAAGGGGGTGCACGACCGTGGAGACAGCGACCCAGGATTGGAAACACCTGTTTTTCCAAGCATGACTTAAAATAATGAGGGGGGTGATGCACCGGAGAGAAGCGCATGAGTTCACAATTTGGCTCCACTCCATCTATCTGGACATTATTTCCAATAATTATTCACGTTATTTGCCTGATATACACCCCTTCTCTTGTTCCAGCAGCATGTCCCCCCCCCCCCCCACTTTCCCTGCAGATTTACCTCAGAGCCTGTTAAATTAGGAGATGTATTTGTAAAAAGAAGCAGTGCATGGGTGCAGAGTATGACATAATGCACAGCAGGTCTGTTTTTATACCGTAAACTATCAATCAGCTCCTTAAGTGGAAAAGAATGGCCGAGCTTGAGTAACAGCCACTCTCCGCCTTTCATCGTGGCGTCTTTCATTAGAAACAAAATATGCAAACGATCACTTTGATTGATTAATGGCAGAGTGTGTCCGGCCTTGCCGTAAAACATGAAACTGGAACAATTGGAGATACAAGACGGGGTATTTTAACGAGATCCTCTGACAGAGATGAGAGGGATCTGGTGCCTAATCTGCTGCTTTGAGCCCATTTTGAGTGACAGCACGCTGACTGGAGGGTATCCCATAATCCCCTCCTGTCTCAGCCATTGATCTTTCCCTTCCAACACATTTCAGACATTTTTACAGACTCAGAATGACTCTCTGGGGATTTTTACTGGATGCAAGGCCGGCCAAGGGAAGTCCGTGACTATGTGCAAGAGAAGGGGAAAACTTGGTTTAATTTCTCAAACCGAGGGTCTGGTTTTGATACGACACAGTGTGAGTTTATATCCCACAATCCAATCAAAAATTCCTGGTAAACTATTGCCCTCTTGTGTTTATTTGTCTCTTTTGCTTGGGATATCTTGACTCGACTCATCTTCACTGTGAATTATTGCTGACAGGAGACGTGGACCCATTTTTCTGAGGTGTTACAGTCCGTCTGTATTGAAGCACTAAATCACTGCTCTTTCACAAAGGGCTTTCACATACCTCCAGCCGCCTCACGCCAGTCTTTTTTTTCTCTCCCCTCCTTCAAGGAACATCTTGAAAGTATTTTAGGATTGATAAAGTCATGATACAGATGTCAAGCTTAAACAAAGAAACATACAGGCTGTGGTGATGTGGCCAATGTTTTTATTGACACAGAAGTACAGATCTTTGAAGGCAAGTTGTGTACTTTCTGAAGCGTGAGGGCTCAGAAATGAACCCTAACCCTAACCCTAAGGACTACAACAGAATAATGACCCTTCACACAACTGTGTCGTATGTGACACAGTTGACAATGAAATTAAAGTTGGCTGAAGATAGGAAAACCCTCAAATTAAACAGTTCAAATGTTGCAAATCAGTCTGTGGTATGATTGTTATAGACAAGTTCAAAATGTCAGAATCATATTATGAGTAAAAAACCACAAGAAGACAGTCAGGCTGATGTTAAATATTAACAACATAATGATGTATTCTGCATTAGTAAATCAAAAGTGTTTGAGGTAAAGATTAAAGAAAAAATATTCTGTAAAAGCAATAATGAAAATCATAAAAGAGTGTCTTCTCTTCCTCTAGTTTAACAGCTGGTCCCTGTTTCATTTTTTATTTTAAATGTTTAAACATTCAGCTGCTGCTTAAACAAACAAACTTACTCAACCAGAAAATCTTCCTTAAAACGTACTTAATTTACATGGGAACATGCACGCATCATTGCAGACAAAACATTTCATACCAAAAAAGAAATCGAACCACAGCCAACAGTACACCTTGTTCTTCTCTACATGCAGTTAGTTGTCCTTATTTGATCTATGGGCGGAAGACAGACCCCCATCCTTAAATCACTACACTGGCTCCCCGTGGAACTGAGGATCGAATTCAAGGTCTCCGTCCTCACCCACCAGTGTATCCATGGAACTGCCCCTCCCTACCTCAAGGAACTCCTCACCCCCAATACCTCCTTGCGGACCACCCGCTCCAGCAACTCCAACCTCCTCAGACCCCACAGGACCAAGCTCCGTACTATGGGAGACCGGGCCTTCTGCTCGGCTTCCCCCGGTCTGTGGAATGCTCTCCCCGACCACATAAGCGCACCACAGACCGTGGAAGCTTTTAAAAAAGGCCTCAAAACCCATCTGTTCAATAGAGCCTTTCCCTAGACCTTTTATTTATTACCACCCTTTTATTTTATTTTATTTTTATTGGTTTTCATTCTACCGTGTTGTGTACTGTTTTTATACTGTTCATGCTCACTGCTTGTAGCACTACGGGATTTGACTTAACCATAATTCTACCCCATGCATGACAAATCAGAATCTCTATCTTCTAGTAAAGACAAACCCTTAATCTTATAATTTTCCAAAGGGGGGTTCGTTTAGCATCAAACACTTGAAATAACTAAAGGACAAGTTAAACAAGAAAGAGGAAAGAAAGTGAGGTGATAGCAAACTATTTCTGCTAAAAGGTTAGCAATGATTGAGAGTCAGAGCTAAACATTTCAGATGTGTGTGTACCTCACACTGCACTGTAACTTTTATTCATGTATCTTTGTTATTCATGTATCTTTGCTTTTAAATTAGTGTTTTTAAATGTCATTTTATATCATTGCTTTTAAATGAGTGTTTTTAGATATCATTTTATAATATGTTTCTTACTGCTATTAATGTCTTTCATTTTTGTAAAGCACTTTGAATTGCCTTGTGTTCTTATTTTATTTTATTTTTTTATTTAAACTTTGAATTAACCATTATCCACGGCCACACTTTAACTGTCTAAAAGGCCTGCAGCATTTTTCATCTCCAAAAAATGCTCCGTGAGATGCACACATGGAGCGGAGAAATATAAAACATACACATATTCTCACACTATCAGAAAAGCAAAGCCTAAGCGATGGCATGCAGGTCAACAGGAAACAGTCCCGATGATCTTTCCTCTTCCTAAGGAGGGAAAAGAGATGTTTAAGATATGGTGGACCTGCACAGTCAGGTGGTTCTGATCAAACCCCGGGCTCAGGCTGTCCCATGGTGCCGTGCCTGCTGAGTACAAAGACGCCCCACTGGGAAGCCCTCGTGTCTAAATGAGAGAGGTCCGGTGCTGGATGGAGGTTTGCAGTCAGGCCCTCGGAGATCCAGCGGATTGTGTGACTGACCGCGCAGGTGACCCGGATATTGAAACCCCCGTTGAGGGTGGATTTCAGAGTGTGAGAACTGGAGTGGTGGAGAAGGGTGTGAAGAAATGTTACTGAAACATAGCTGATGTTTATATTAGTCCACTTGCAAAAATAAAAATAGAAAGCTATGAATGATGAATATATTAAGAAACACATAATTCATTAAGCATTAACGCCAAATATTCACTATTTCAAGCACTTCAGATTTTTAGTATTGACTGCTTTTCTTTGTTTTACATAAATAAAAATGTGGGTAACTGTGATGAGAACATTGAAGGGGACTAAAATATGTTTTTCATGTTATTTTACAGAAGGAAAAAAAGGGCTGGTGTACTGCCACTACCAAGCAACAACCTCAGCACAATGGGTGCCAGGGTTTATATGCTGCACCCAATCATTTGGTACCCCTTCAAATCCACTTCCTGGACACTGAGACATTAAAACATCTAAACCTGTTCTTAAAACGTGTACATCTACCTTATGTACTTATATATATTATTATATATTATAATTTCTGAGCTTAAGCCTACTCTGTGGCTTAATTTGTTGTTTTATAGATTTCCTTGATGTTTTATTACTGGTTCCTTTTCCTGAATGATTTTCTTCAATTTAATTTTAATTTAATTTAATTTTAAAATGAAACCTGTTAATTATTAAAAAAACATATGAAAGTGAAAAGATTAATTAATATCACAATAAAAAAAAAATGTGAATTGAATAAATACATATTGTCACGTTACGTACAGTACATGTAAGTTGGATTCTGATGCTAACCCTGATGGCTCCTACCCCATGGGCTCACATCAGCCACTCTCGTCCACTTTCCACAATCCAGCTCCGCAAACTCTCTCTGTTGACCGCTCAGGGTTCGGTGATGTAGCTGGATTCCTCGCTCGACGAGAACTGCTTACCTCCAGTCTCACCATTTTCGACGACCGACCTGAAAGCTACTGGTCATGGAAGTCAAGC